CACACCTGGATGTAGCTTGTTGCTCCAAAATTAAAAAAAAATGTAATAAATAAATAAATAAATAGTACAATTTAGGCTTCGGTCTCACCCCCTTCACTCTTTGTGTAGGTCTGTCTTTCCTTCCTGTCTGTCTGTTGTCTTTTGCTTTTTCCGTTTTCTTTAATGTTTCCAGGCCCATATCGACAAAGCTTCTTGAGAGTAGGACTGCTGGTCTGGGATCTGTTCTGTCCCTAAGGTTGGAGGAATCTGGTTCTAGATCAGCACTTCTACTTTCAGAAGCTTTGTGAATGCAGCCCTGGGCTGATCTAGCATCTGTTCCTATCAGTAAAGTCACAGTAAATAAGAGAGCACTCTGATCCTAGATCAGCAGTTCTATTTTGAAAAGCTTTGTGAATATGGGCCTGGTATTCTGAGTTTTCTGATGTAATTGCACCTAAATCAGGGGTATTCACCTCTTGTCCTGGCAGACTGGTGTCTAGCACAGTCTGTTCTCCCTGTTCTAGCATAACTCTAAGCCTGGCAACTAATAGGAGGGTTCGATTAGCTGTCTTTGAGCAGGAAAACCTGCTCCCAGGATTAAGAACCTGAGCTGAAACCCAGGTCCAGATTGTATTATTTCAATTCAAAACAAGGCCTAGACCTCTCTTTCTTTACTAACTCTGATTTCAGCTACTTTAAGGTGCACCCACTGCTGACCCAAGTGTTATTTGCGCACATATAGCTTGTATAATTCTCCATAGAAAAGTGCTGTCAATAGAATGGGATGATCTGAAACAGCAGCTCATGAGCCTAAGGTCACCATGCCCAATGCAAACAGTTATAAAGCCCCCAGCACTAGAACTACATTATCTGGAGTGATGGAGCTCCATCCAACACCTTTGAGATGAGTTGGAGAGACATTTGTGATCCAGAGCTAATCATCCAACATCAGTGCCTGACCTCACTTATGCTTGTGGCTGACTGCAAGGAAATCCTCAACGCAATGTTCCAATATCTAGTGTGAAGCCTTCAGAGAAGAGTAGAAGCTGTTACTATAGCAAATGCCTTAAAAGTACCCTTCATTTAGGAAGAAATGTCTGCAAACCTTTGGACACGCAGCATCTCACATCACATCCGTGGCTACATGAGCTTAAAGAACATACTAGGTCTGCAAAAACACAAAAGATATCCAAAAAACTCAATCTTTACTACTCTTTACTGCACATTATACACTGTTTTTGGATAAGGACTCCTTTAATGACACATTTGCGTTAGCTGCAGTGGGATCAGTTGGTGAGACACACGTGGCAAAATGTTCTTTTATGTAGCCTACAAAGCCAGTCTGCAGCAAGCAGTGGAGATCAATTGAACAAACTCCCCACACCAAGAGTGCCAATTACTGTGTGCACAGCATAGTATGACTTGAACACAGGAGCGAATACACACACACACAGTTTGATTTGCTGACCAATAAGGCCCATAGCAGCATCAAATAAATGTAGAGGGAAAACTGTGCGTTAGTCCATGCAGCCCAATTGAAAGTGGTGCCTTGCAACCCACACAAGTGCAGACAGAGTACAATATCAGGTGACAGCAACAAATTGTGGTCTGTATAATAATCACGTACTAAGATTTTGATAAATGTACTGTGTTTGTTTCAGTGATAGCCTGGAACTAACTCATTTTCCTTTGGAGAGCATCCCCTGACTCAGGGTATAGGAGACCCCCAAATATTTCACACAGCTGCAATTTTGCTTGGAAAACCTGCCACCTACAGGCAAAACGGAACAATGCAGTTTTCCAAAATAATTCAACACTAAAGCTGTGAATATTAAAAACCTAGAAGGAAGGTAGTGAAATTTCCTGTGTTTACTTGTACATTTTCTACCACATTCTTACAGCTGACAAACAATATGACTGGAGAGAAACGAAAGTTGTGGCAAAGTCTCAAGTAATGACTGTAACTCATTTACCCTGACTTATTTTTAAAAATAAAAGTCTTACCTTCTATTCCTTTAAGGACAAGACCTTCAGGCCTACCACTGCGTGCTCTGTTGCCATATCACTGCACATAAAGTCTATATGTACGTGTCTGTAAAACGAACCATAGACTGAAATTAAATTACCTCAGTGCAAAACATATGGCAAGACGATTAGAAACTGGCAGCATTTATTAAAAGAAATATTCTCTTTTTTTCTTACTGAATAAATACCAACATACTGATTAAAATGTCACAGCTCAAAAATAAACCTGACACAAGAAATTAATTTTGATCATTTTTAAACTTTCCTGACAGCACACGCACAAAAACGTCCAGCTAGTTAATTGAACAAATGTCAAGCTAGTACATCTCATTTTCTCTCTATTTCCTCATTTTCTTTTTTTTTTTTCCTCCAGCTCGATCAGTGTCTTATCTGTGGCCCCGCTATAAACTCCAATTATTACTGCCCGGGTCCCATCACCCCTTCAGCTCGTTCCTCACCAAAAAGAGAGAGAGAATGAAATGAGTTTCCTTAGGAGGAGATACAGTAAATGGGGAAAAAAGGCCATAAATTAAAACGAACAACCCCTCCCACGTTAATTCTCTTTATCCCCCCCCATCCCACTGCACAACACCAACTCCCCGTTAGCAGCCGGAGTCTGGAGTCTGGAGGAAGGATGCTGCTAATTTCCTCCTTTATTGAATTGTGCTGGACGCACACGTCCTGCGAGCACATCCTCCTCTCTTCTATTCTCTTCTTTCACATCGCATTGGCCTTTCACAATTAATGCCACTGTTTTTATGTGTTTGTGTTGCTGAGATGCCCTCTGCCTTTCTGCCGTTCGTTCTTTTTCTTCTGCCAGCTTTATCTTACCCTGCGTCCTTCTCTCTCTTTCTGTTTCCAGATTTGTTGTATGAAGTATTTCCATTTCAAGCACTTTTCTTGAAACGTTCCTTTGCTGTGGCTGCTCAAAACACCACCTACTCTTTGGCCTTCACTCAAGGACTGGGGCTTTGTCTCGATTCCTGTCTGCTTCTCCAGAACGTCAATGCTGTGCATACTTTACATACACAATCGTTTGCTACAAAGAATTGTTTAACGGAATGTTTCAGCTTTTTCTCCAACGAAATCTTTATTTGCTGCATGGACAATAATTTTGAACATGTTTCCACATACTTGGAAACGGGTAGAAAACCTGTTGACTTGAAATACATTTACAACAGCAGCCAGTGTGCAGGTGCTGAAGCAATAGCAAATTGGCTTCTATTTTAAGTTTGTTTTGAGATTATATCTCTAATCTAATTTTTAATATCTAAAATTATATATATATATATATATATATATATATATATACATATATATATATATTGGGACAAATTATGTCACAAACATTTTTCAGTTTTTGATATAATTTCAAAATGTTGTCCTTTACATTGTGTGTAAATTTCATGATGAATGGACAAAAAGAAACGGCCCAAAATGACTTGGAAAAGAAGTCTGGTTTCATTGACTTACATTAAAAGTAAAGTATGTTTTTTCCTTACCCTTTAAAGTTATTATTTTCGAGATATGAGGTTTTCTTCCGACAACAGCAAGATATATATATTTGTTTAGAACACAGTTTGTTCACACCTTTCGTCAACATGGTTCATGTCCGGATTGTGTCTGGTGTACAGTCATATGCAAAAGTTTGGGTGCACCAGGTCAACTGACACATTTCGTCAATATATCCTCTACAGAGAGCACAGTTTGGTACAATGTATTGCCCAATTACTGTCTATTTGCTGAATTAGTCAAAGAACATTTTGTTTTTTTATGTTTTATTTTTTCCAGTATGTTAAACTCAAAAATTACACAGAAATTGTGCACAACAAATTGTAGAATAATGCCATATTTAAGTGCGTTCTCTGTAGAGGATGTGTTGGTCTTAATTTCACTTAGAAAATGAACATATAAACTGATGAAGCCTGTTCAAACTTTTTCATGCTACTGTACCTGATTGCGGATTCCATTTACATGTTTCACTTTTCACCCAGTGTAACCAGATGAGGCCTTTCCTGTATAAAAAGCACATTAAAACATATGGCGTTTCTGTTTTACTTCCAGTAACCTACTGTTAACATGGTTTATAACTTGTTACTACCAGTGTATTATATGCTGTCAAACGTCGGAAAACAGCGTTTAGAAGAGAAGTCTTTGTTATGTACTTAAGTAATTTATATATTTATGTATATAATGCATATAAAAATATAAAAAATTGCATTCAATTTACAGTTGTGCTCAATAAGGTCAAGATCCATCTCTGACCAACTCAGAATGTGGTTTGAGTGATCTGTTCGCAATCCAATCACAACACATCCTGTGTTTGTATCTGGCATTTTATGTGCGTGAAACCTGAACTTGACCTGATCACTGAAAACACGTTGATTCAAAGTGTAAAAAGATACTCTCCAAAGGACATTAATTGTCATTTTAAACCCTATGACCCACGGTTACAATTCTCATTTAGATTAGACCGATTTAGAGTCTAAAAGAAACACTGAGTGCTAGAAATTTAGAGTGTGCACGTATGTGTGTGTGCATGAGCGTGCATGTGGATATATGTGTAGGAATGGTGTTGTGTAGCTGTCAGGTTGGTTTGGCGTTCTGCCGTAAATTGGCACGCCACTGGTTTCCTCACACCTCAGCTAATTAGCCTGCTGCTCAGAGAGCTAGTTAATTAGAAAAGAGCTAACCCCGATTCTCTCTCAGGTTATCAAACCACACATACACATTTAACCACCCACACAGATCTGACTGACAGGTTTAGCAGATTTCCTGCCATTGTACACAAATGGAGGATGGTTGAAGAAAGTTCAGTAGCAGAAGGAGCTAAAGATAAACGTGGTAAAGAGAGATGCAAGCCGCAATTAGCGATTAAAACAGCTTGGACTGAGGACGACCACAGTGTAACAGTCCGAGAAAACTCAGTCCGAGTGCAGCGGTGCTGGAAGTGAGCAGCAGAGATCAGATCAGAGAATGATGAAGGTGTTCTCTACCTGTTCGTTGTTGTTCATGCACTGCAGCTTCATCTGTTTCAGGTAGGTGGTGGTCAGAGGCATGTTGTAGTCGATGACATCAGGGACCAGAGAGGCAGGCTGGTCATTTTCTGGATTAAAAAAAAATTAAACAGCATAAGAAGTCACTCACCTCACATCGGCAGGATATCAGTGAATATTTAAATTTTCATTGTCGTCATCAACAACACAATGATTATCTTTGTCAACATCATCAAAAATCACATTATGAATAACCACTAATAATCAGAAATGTTATTGTATGTCCTTTGTCAAAAGAATAATTGCATTTCCATATAGAGAAGGACTATAACTGCATACTAGAATCCAGAGTCACAACCCTGGTTCTCCACTTATTTGTGTTTTCTGGCTAAAACACACCCACTTCAGAGAGAGACTTGCTGATACACTGATTAGCTCGATCAAAGGTGCTGGGAGCAGAGTAAAAACTAAAATGTGTATAGCATGGGGTGGCGATTCTCTCTGTCACCACTAGAGGGCAGTAAATGAAGCACTTCATACTGCATGCGCACCCAATTAGCCCATGATGCACACAGCTCCATCTCTTTGTTCCATTAACAATGCTTCATTTCAAATGCCCTAATTATAAAATGCACAGACATATGCAAAGAGCATGTGCACAAATTCACATAAATGATAACTCCTCCCGAGTCAACAGCAGCCATATTTTTCAGCAAATGTTTTCAAAATAGTTATGAAGTGTCTACAAATGAAGAAAAATGGCAAGTCATAAATAGACTTTGAGGATGAAGGTGATCATGATAATGACAGAGATGGTGATGATTATGATGATAATGAAGATGGATTTGTTGTTGGATGTGTGCATGTGTGCGTGGGGTGGAGGGGGGCTGTTTTTGTATCTTCTGTATTCCTTGTGTGTGTTCATTCAGTCACTCCACATAAAGCCACTGTTGGCATTGTAGCTGAGAGCAGTGACAGACAGTGAGACGTGGCATAATGGATAAACAAACCCACAGACACCTTCTAAAAATAAAAATAAAATAAAATAATGGTTTATTATCCCTAAATGCGCTTAATGACCATTTTCCACATATTTATATCGTGCTTAGAATTAGACTGTAAACTGTGTTTTTCCTCCTCATTTGCTTTTTTTCTTGAATGGAGCCATGAAAAACGTATTACCTGCTCATCAACTCACACACTCTTACACGCATACACACACACTCAGAGGCTTCATCAGTAATCAATGAGCACTCATATGTTTGTTTACTGACTGGTATTGACCAGTTTCCTCATATTACCATCGTCTATAGATTTACTTCCACATGCCCCTTAGAAAATGCAGAAAACCAGTAGACCTCGGTTTTATTTCAAATAACAACATTTTAATGTTAAAAATATAGTAATAATGCCACAGTTTCACTCTCTCGATATAAATAAAACTCTGTTGACTGTGTTTGTCTGAGACAGGAGTTATAAAAAGAGCCACAGCCTCAGAGTCAATTAAAAAAAAGCCTGTGTGCACAGTAATTAATCACTTTTAATAATTTAGTGCTGAACTTTTGCGTGGGTAGCTGGAGCTAAAAAGAGGGAGAAGGGGGAGGAAGGGTGAGGAGGGGGTTTACGGACCCCCATGGGGTAGGAAGCCAATTAGCTGCTCTCTTTATGAGCGACACCCAACGCTGTCCCAGCGCTGCCACACAACGCTGTGACAAATCAAGCCTGGGAGGTGTTGTGTGTGTGTTTATCTCGCAGCAAGGATGTGGTCCAGTGGTAGTTATTCTCAATGGTAATTGGTTCCTATCCACAGTGTTGGTTTTAGGGTTTCACTGCCTAAACGTAACAACGGCTCAGCCATTATGGCTCATAATAGGACTTTGGTCCTCGCTTTCTTTTTGCCCAGACATCATCTCTCCATCCATCTCTCCTCCCCCACTGAAAACCTCTTCCTCATCCCGAGTATTCCCCCTCTCCCCCATTTGTCGCTCTCCCTTTCTTTCCCTGTCTGCAGAAATGATCTGGTGTCCTGGGAGTGTGTTTTTTTTTTTCTTTTTTTTTGTAAAAGGGCTGTAATTGGGCTAATTGCAGTGCGTAGGGAGGGAGACAGGACACTCCAGTGATCAGAGCCTAATGAATGTCTGTATGCTGCGTGTGTGTTGGAGGTGGTCTAGTTGTTGGGGGTTCGTTAACTTCTCTCTGATAGGGTGTGGATGGAGAGGAATCGCCAAGGTGATTTGGGAGGTGCAGGACTGTTCCAACAAAAGACAAAGACTTGGAGCTTTATGACTGTGAATGCCTTCTGGCTCTCTGGGACTGTGAATCTCTTTAGTGCTAATCGACTATCTCTGCAGAGTCTATACCTATTTGGCAATGGCTCAGCAGAGGTTATAGGACGTTTTGAATTCCTCTATTAATTTTACCCGTCCTTGTATTCTACAACATCAATGCTCTGTGTGTACAGAAATTGCAACAGATGAAGATAAAAGCTAGTCTGATTAAGTCCATGTGCTTATGTTTTGGTAAAGTATGACTAGATAAGGTCTCTTTCCAACTTGCTTCAAAGCACTTCAAAATGGTGTGAAATGGCCTGCAAAACTGCTTCAGGTCATTCAAGCTTCATGTGGCATGGATTGTTCTTATATTAATAATTAATGACAATTGTCAATGCTGTGTGGTTTCGCATTAAACAATAGTGTGACACAAATTAAACGTCAATGCAAAACTTGCTGAAAATGGCACGGTTTCGTGTGAAACTACAGTACTGTGAGTCTTACAACTCGGTATATCTGAGCAGTAAGTGAGTTCTTGCCAGTAAGAACACTATAGAACATTAGAATAAATACAGATTAACACCAAATATGGTAAAAAGCAACAATAAATGCTTTTCTGAAAAGATTTTAAATGTTGTCAGCTAATCAGAAGCACACAGGTTTGGTTCCGGGCTTCACCTCGACCCTCTTGGCCATCGCACAGATGTGTAAAATTCTATCAGCACTACCTGATTTAATTGAATCAAAGACTGATTAGCCAAGATACTGGATGATAACTACAAATGATACTGGACTTCCATGGGGAGAGGTTTGGAAATGATTATCTAAATACATTGACATAAATTCACTACTCCTTATATTAAAGGTATTTGTATTTATTGTAATATAAGTGTTTTTCTGAGCAAATAAACTCTTACTTCCCAGATAAATGGCTTTTTAAATATAATTTTCTCAGGCATCTAAAACCTTCGCACAGCACTGAACATTGCACTGATGACTGACTTTAACTGGCATAGCTGAACATTAAAAGTCAGTCAGTATGTGCTATGCTTTTCATGATAGACATAATTTTTAATGTGTTTACTGTCGAACTCCAGTGAAATGGTTTAATGGTAAATGTTAGGTAGTGATATGGAAGGTCTTACGGGTGTCGTACCTTTGCACTCGGTACCACTTGGGCTGATGTGCATTCTCTTCTGACACTCTCCACAGCTCATCAGGAATCGGGTCACTGCCTCTCTGGGCAGAAACGCATACGTCTCTGCTATCTGAGATAATCAGAGGGAGAGAAAGAGAGATCACGCCTATTATTTCACATTTCCACACAAAAGTGACTGGGTTCATGCTTGCTTTGCACATGATTCTTTGGAGCATTTCATCACAGCTGATAATTCTCACCAGTAAGGATACAATTCAACCAGCTTTCTGCATCGTGGTGATGAATATGATGCTACCAATGATGGACATAAAGGGGTCCTACAGTGAAGGGCCGATGAAAAAGGACCCAGGGTCTTGCTTAGGAGGAGAAAGCTATACGAAAGCACATCCCATCGGCGCACATCCATGGCACCACTGCTGGTCGCCTACAGCTGGCCGAGCCTGTCGACCTCCCTGTGAGTCGAGCTCCGGGCCGCCGCACTCTCGGCACCTCATCACGTCTCCCTCGGCCGTGCGCTGTTTTGACTTGCTGTCAGAGCCCTGTCTCTTTATGCCTGCGTATGTCCTTCCCATTCTCAACAGAGCCCAACACTCTGAGCACATGGCCAGTGGTAGCTGTAGCGGCTAATATGAATGCAGGGCATTTGTGGTGTGCGTAGGATGGATGGTGTGTGTGTCTGTTTTTAAAGAGAGAAAGGTGCGACAGTGAAATGTCAGTTCCAGCCCTTGGTGACAGTCTCCCTGTCAATCAAACCCAAACACGGGCAGGATATCGGAGTGCGCACACACACGCGCGCACACACACGCGCGCCCACACACCCTGAACAAAGGTAGTTTATCAGTAGAGGGAGAGCATCCAATCTAAATTTAAATTTCATTAATTCAGAGGGAAGGCAAATGAAGTGCTAATCAGGTTCTTAAATCAGGGAGCAGCGGTGACAGCAACAGAGCTGGAGGGGCCAGGCTCTTATTAAAATGAGGAGAGAGCGCTATCCCCCCTCTACGTCCTAGGCTGAACTCTAAACTATCCAGTTATTTCACTATGACAACAAAAGAGAAACTAGTTCTAGAAATGACGGCTGTTTTTATTATGGTTGCAATAATCGTATATTTTTATTTTCACATATTCTATCAAACATTCACTGAATATGCTAATAGTCTATAAAAATAAGAAAAGCTCAAGACATGGTTCACTTTAATGACTGAATGGAAAAAATAATTCTTATTATTGCTAATTTGCACCACTGCATGATTATATTCATTTATTTTACTTTTTAATGAAACTTGGAATACTACAAGGTAATAAAAAAAAATCAATGATTAACAGTTAACTGGGGATCCTGCCTAATCTGGCAACCCTGATCAGGTTGGTGGCAAGCGGTGCAAGAAAGCAGAAGGCACATCTTTTAAACCATCATATTGAAAATTAAATCAGTCTTTACTGACCTTTAAAAAAAACGCTCATTACTAGTAATTGTCAACATAATTGGTAATTACTACATTTAATTCTACAGAAACAGCCCCACTAGAAATATAATGATTCAACACTTCATCACTGCTCAAGGTAAATTTTCTAACCCAGATGTTGATTTATATGTTTCTGCATTTTCTCTGCCACTGTCTCAATTCTGTCCTCATTTTTATCTATTCACTGGCCCTCTTTGTATCCTTTTCTTGTCCAATACTCTCCCCTCCTCCTTACAAACCAGTAGCTGGCCAGGCAAGGCAAATTGGAGAAGGAGAAAGAGAGAGAGAAAAATACACCCCCACACTGAATATACACACTCTCCCCTGAGGCTCAGGCAAGCAAACATGGGGCATCCATGGCACCACAGCAGGAGGTGAGCGAGTGTGTGTGTGTGTGTTTTTCAAAAAGGCTGGATATGAGTTTAAAAAAATAAAAAAATAAACAAAAATAACACACACACACACTTCACCCATGTGCATGCTACTCTATGAACCACCGTGTAGAAAAATCCCTGCTGGATCAAACTCCCACTACAAGTGATTTCCCCTCCCAGTGCCAGCACTACACCGAGCTGTAGAAGAGCTGGGTGGGTCCTGATGTCCAGAGAGATGCTCCACTCAGGACAGCTTCTGGACCGCTGCCACAGCCCGACAGCCGGCAGGCAAAAACAGAACAAACAGAACCAGCTGTGTGTGCGTATGCACGCGTGTTGGCTGGAGATGGAAATACATATCTCATCAATTATACATAAGAGGAAAAAAGAAACAAAAGAGACTATTTATACATCTGTTAGAACACCACTGATGCCAAGCACAAAGGTGCTAAGGAGGTGTCACTGAGACCACTCCATCATGGTTTATGTGTATTCCTCCTTCCATCCAATAGAGGGCAGTACCACAGGAGCTGAGCTGGCATGTTTGGGTTGGGGCAAACCTTTCTTCCAAACATATAGAACAAAAATTATCTCCACTGTCTAATTGCGTCTGTGTGTGTAGCCTACAGGTAGAACACAGTCCCACAACCCTTAACACAGCATGCACAGCGGGAAATATTAATGACGATAAAAAAGGAATTTGACTCAACAAGTGAGAGAGGACATAAAATAAGTCGATCAGAACGAGCAGCTGTAGGTGTTTTGAGTTTATTTATTAATAATGTTCATTGCACAGACATGCACTGATCTAAAGTAGAATGAGAGAGAGAGAAAGAGAGAGCGAGACAGTGTCTGTCTTTACATGCAAAGATTTTTGTCAATCCGATTGAATACAATCCGACTATAGATTAAGACTGAGGCGTTTATATTCTCACTCTACTCAACAATCTGACAGAAAATCTCTGTTAACATGCAACCTACAAATAATCAGATCCAAAATTACACGCATGCATAGAGAACCACTTAGTGTAGACGTTACCATGACAACGAGCATCACGTGAGTCCAGTCAGAATGAGACGAGTTTTCAGCTGGCGCACTTGTGTTTTTAATTGCATTAAAACAATGTCAGACTCAGGAAAATGTATTTCACATGTACTTATTAAACAAAGAAGTGCTCTGAGACACATAAGTTGGACGTCCGTCCCACCGCCATCTTTTAGAGCTCAGAGCATAAACTTCGTCTCCTCTGCAGACCAGTTTCTGCTCCGCCATGTTGAATGTTATAAACTTTCGCTATGACGTGACGCATGTGATCAGAATATACTTAAACTTTCCGATTGGGAATGTAATCAGATATAGGTGTTTACACGGATATTATTCTTCTATTTAACGGATTATTTACAGGATTACCCATCTCATTCACTCGGATAGAAATTGTATTCCAAATGGCCTCAATCGGACTAGACTATTCTGATTGAGGTGTTTACATGGCCGTATTCTATTCTGATTGAGCTATTAGTCGGAATATTAACGGATTATTAGGATGCATGTAAACCTGGCTAGAGAGAGACAGAGACGAGTGAGAAAAGGACCAAGAAGGAGGAAGAGAGAAAGAAAGGCAGTGAGAGAAAGAGAGAGAAAGGAGTGAGTGAAAGAGAAGATGTAAACAAAGAACATGCATGGCAAAGGGAGAACACAATTAGCAAATAAACGACGGAAGACGAGTCGGGGGTGGGAGAGGGGTGGGAGTGCTCACTCACCGCTTTGTAGGTTTTTTTCTGGCCGGCATGCTTGGGGGCTTTGGCCGGGTCAGAGCTGATCTCTACGTGCATGGCATAGATGATGTCATAGAAGTCCTCCACTACAGCAACTCTCTTCAGAGAGGAACCCTCCTGACCTGCAGCTCCATCTACGCACTGAAAGAGAGAGAGAGAGAGATTTGTACACTATACGTTTTCAATACCATGTGAGAGTGATAATGTTATACACTGTACTTGACCCTATACTTTTTTTTGTGTAGCACTTTCTCCAAGATCTCAAAGCACTTTACACATCCATAAAATAGCTACCCAACAACCATCTAACAACAATCTGCATACTTAAAAAGAAACGTTTTAAGAAGAGATTTAAAAGACTTCAAATTGTCTGCTGAGTGGATGCTATTTTATTTACTAAGTTTACTTATTTATGTCTTACTTTTTTTTGGAATAGCAAAGTAAGAATTTCGGTAGCACTTTACTGTAGGGTGCTACATGACACCTACATAAGCTTTCATGACCACTGACATAACCCTGCATAAACGTTTAAAAATGCTTATTCCGACAGACAAAAGATGACGCCTATTGGAATGAGCATTTATAAACGTTTATGTAGGGTTATGTGAGTGGTCATGATAAGCTTATGTAGGTGTCACGTAGCCTTATGAACAGTAACCTACAGTGAAGTGTTACCAGAATTTCACTGTACAGTGTAACCACTCGTTTTACTGTGCATATGACAATAAATTATTATGTATTTTGTGGGTATACACTTACTGACTGCAGGACAGCTGTTTGATTAATTGTCAGTTACCAATTACCCCATCAGTAGAAAGGGACCACCATGGGACCACCATGGGTGAACCAGAGAGGTGGACCATTCATAGAAGTATTTGAAAGGTCTTCATTCAATTCCTAAAAATATATTCAGAATTGAAAAATCAAAGAATAATGCTAAATACAAACTATGACGCTTTTTTCTCTCACAATGGCCACCCCAGTTACCACGGTAACCACTGCTAACTTCATAGGCAGGTGTGCAGGGCAGAGGGTCATGAAACGCCAGCAGCGTCATACTCCAACTTACTCTGTCGCAGTAGCTACCTTCTCTCTTTCACATTCGCACCCCTTCACTGAATTCTTATACCCTCCTCCATACAAACTGCCTCAAACTCCACACTCGTCCTGTCCCTATCTTTCTTTCCTCACCTCTACCCCCTCCCCCCTCCCTACTTTGACCCTTATGACCCTCTCTGCCACCTTCCACTGCCTTGTTCTGGCTGATGAAGGTTATCACGGCAGCTGGGAACATGGCGTATGGGGTAAGCTGCATCTATTACCTGGTAATATTGATGATTATGAAGATGATGATGATGATACGTGAAAAGCACTGATATCTATAGAGTTTAGGCTTTTTGCCAATTACAACAGTATAAAGAAAGTCTGACAGTAATAACTGCAGCATGACTTGCCCTGTGTAATTTACTCGACCCTGGAGGATTCCCAGTGAAATCAGTACTATTCTTTCCTAAATGTACCTCATCAGGTGTTCATGAGCTAAACTTTAATTTAATGAATAGGATATATTTTACACCTGTTCGCCTACAAAAGATGTTTCCAGATGACCTGCATCACCAAACGGACCAATTCTGGAAACCCTGTGGACTTAAAATTCTTTGTATGTTGGCCAGTTGTGTGAGATTTAAATGTATGATTGTCAATACTGAATAGAGTGCAATCAAAAAAATTAGTACTGTTCACATCAACCTCATTGTAATGTAACTGCAAAACCTGCTGACAGGCATGACCATGCGCCGTGCTGTTTTTGATATCGAGCGCCGCACCGTTCACATAACTTTAGTGTCCATACTGGTATAACAGCATTGGTTTCACACACTAGTTATCTTTACTTTTAACACTGTACTGATAAATAACAAAACCTGCAATGTATGTCATCTGCTTGGTGCAGTTCTAAATAGAAATGCTAAAAAAATGCACTTTCTGTTTGGATGACATTTACAATACTGCAAAATTGGAGGTCGGACAAAGATAAACAAGATATCTACCAGAGCAAGAGTGGTCAAGATCAATATGTAAATAATAAACTAAAATATGTGCAGATGTATAAAGAAATATTTTTTTTTGGGGCATTGCTATCTTCTTTGGCTAAAATAACACAGTTGTTGATAAATTTGAGCATAAGATCCCAGGTCCTGTGAAAGGATTCCAAGGAACGCTTCAGGAAAAATCGTAACTTTTTCAAGCTCGATACATAATAGAACTCCAGCTCCAACTATCATGTGATGGAGGAGAGGCCTCCTTCCATTTAAGAAGAATGGCACGTCTGGCCCAGAAGGTAGTGAAGGCAACAACACGTTGTGAAGTAGCAGGCAGGCACAGAGTGCCCACACTGAGGAAGCATGATTTTATTAAGTGTTTTAATGTGAGGTTAAATTTCACCTAATATTTTGATTCTGTATTATCTTTGAAAAATCTTGGAGATGTTGAATGTTATCAATACCACTCAGCACCACATAACGCTAACATACATCTGGACCCTGATGTAGAGTTCGGGACACTGCACGTTATCTCGTACAAATCGGGCAGTCCTTCATAAATTTACAAAGCCAGCTCGAACAGCAATAGAGACGTACTTTGTGCAAAGACACACAGAATATACATGCTTACTCCTGCCTTCCTCTGCACTATATTACCTCCAGGAGATGGGGCACGTGTGCCAGACTCAGCCAGCGTGTGTATGCGAGTGTGTGTGTGTGTGTGTTAAGAGACTCGTGCTGCTGTAGCAGGATGCTGCCCTGCCCCCCTCTCCTCCTGACGGTTGCGGGGCACATCAGCGGCCTGGGACGTTAGTGTGTGTGACAGCAGCAGGCCCTCCACACACGCCGATGTGGGACATGAGAGGGAGGGGGGCAGTGCAGGACCTCCAGGCTCAGCAGACCGGACACACACATACACACACAGGGGCTGCACCTCAAGGCAGAGCAAATCGGACAGAAACACACACACACACACACACACACACACACACACACACACACACACACACACACACACATCCCCCTAATACCCTCCCCCAAAATGCCAACATGGGGTCAAAGTCACTGCACCCTGAGAGGGCAAAGCCAGGCTGTCCTGCCATGCGCCAGACACACATACATAATTAGCATTTCTACTGTGGCACAGAATCATGGTGGTTACACGAATGCCGCTCTGGCAAGGTTATGGCACTTGGGTGTGCTGTATATACACATGAATAAAAAATAGTGGGCAATGCCACTTTTCTAAGCCGACCTTGCTCTTGTAAGCGTTCACACAAACACACCCTCCGATTGTGGGTAACCTACAGGTAACTCAGACAGACAGAGAACAGTTCAGAGGCATGAAGGATGGACAGAACAAGACAGAGATAAACAGAACATTTCAGTCTGTCTCAGATGGGCTGCTTTCAGCTGAACGAAGGAAGGTCGGACATCATCCTCCTCCCCAACCCTCTGTTCATGTTCCTCTCTATCTAACTAACCCACTCTAGCATTCTCGGATGCCCATCTCTCTCTCTCCCCCCCCCTTTCTTTATTTCACACTCTCTTTTTTCCCTCTCCTTCTCCTTCTCTTTCGATTTCCATCTTCCTTAATTTCTCTCTTCCTTCTCAATTTTTCTTTCTCCCTCTTCCCCTCTCTCCCCCTCTTTATCTCTCTCTCTCTTTATCTCTGTTTTCTCCTCTCTCTCTCTCTCTCCCTCTGGTTCTGCTCTCCACCTCCAGGCCTCTGCTCTCTCTCCAATGGCACAGAATAATTGCAGCCTTCCCTCTCCTCCCATACTCTCTCTCTCTCTCTCTCTCACTCTCGCTTTCTCTCTCTCTCTCTCTCTCAGCTTCCACTCCCCCGTCCCGGACCAAACAGCCCTGTTGCTAGGAGACAGGCCGGGTTGGTGCAGCAGCACCCCCACCTCTCTGGCTCTCTGAAAGAAGGAGAAGGGATGGAAGGATGGCAGTGGAGGAAAGAAGCCCTTCAGACATGAGGCCAGCCACAAGGAAGAGACTGACCCACACACACACACACTTTCAAACATGCTCACACACTCACAAAACCAAACAGTGCTGAACTCATGCTGAGCGAGACCTTCAGACATATTCACATCTACTTTAAGGAAGGGAGATGGGTGTTAGGTCAATCAACATTACAGAGAAATTGAAACGCTCGCAGGTTTTAAATGGGCTACAGCATGTGCACTCCTTTTGTTTGCAAACCACGCTTGGTTTACCTTTCCCCACATGAAAGGGTTTTTTTTTCTCTATTTGACATATTTACAGAGAGGAGTCAGGATACAGAAACAGTCGGTAGGAGGTGAGGACCAAACACTGCCAACAGACTCTCACTCTACCAGAGAGAAAGTCTATCAGTGCGGGGATGAAGAATGAGTGTTTGTGAAGGATGGAGAGGAAAACACCAGCTGTGTGAACATTTCAGGATGAATGGATCAATGGAAATGGTCCAGAATAAAATAAAATCTTGTTATATTAACGTACATTAATATGAAGAATAGTTCTTCTTCTCCTGTAAAGATATAATAAGTGCAGGCGACAAGAACTTATGGCCCAGAACACTGATTAACAAACTGCTTACTACATGACAGACTACCCTCTTGGCTCGCCGGGGCAGCGTTGATGGTTTAGTGCATGCTTTTTGTGTACGTGTGCAGACAGATGCTGTACGCTTTAGCGCAAAGATGTTAGGCAACCACTCAAACTCAAGGACGATAAAAGTGTCAGTCACTTCCTTACCTTTATAGCACTTTCGGACTTATTCACAACACATACACATTTACACGCGCACCACTGTGCATATGCACACAACAGGGAGTTACCGCAGTGTACAGCGGGCAGATAAGGCACACTGTGAGCCCTGAGCCAATTAAAGCACTGTTAATTTCTTCTGCAAAGGAGCAGCCATGGCACAGACCCTCCTCACCATGGCAACCACAGGAATGCAGGGAAGACACACCAGCGTCCGCTCTGAACGCAGCCTGTCCTACATGGCCACACAGAGCACCATGCACTACGCTCTTATGCCGTACAGCATGTATTTCATATCATCACAAAGGGAGCCCTAATAATTTGTGCTTAATGGAAATGATGAGC